ACACCCCCCCCCCCGCAGTCCCCCTCCCACTCTAACCCGTCTCTCTCCAGGGACGCTCTGGACGCCCTGGGCCTGAAGCGATATTGCTGCCGCCGGATGCTGCTCTCCCATGTGGATCTGATCGAGAAGCTGTTGAATTACGCCCCCCTGGAGAAATAGCGCCCTCCAGCAGAGGGGGATGGGACCCCCCCCCCCCCGCCGGCCAGGCCCCACGTCATCTGTGCTGGATTTAACATGATGCTTTAGTGTGGGGGGGGCAGCTCTGCCCCAGGGCAATAAACCCCAAGCCAACGCGCCTGTGTCTTGTGTCTGCTGCCTGTTGTTCCACCCCCAAGCCCCCACTAAACTTCCCTCTTCCTCGTGCCCTCCCCCCCCCTCCATCCTGCAGCCCCTCCCCGCGCTCGGTCATTCAAAGACATGTCTGGGAATTTCATGTTGCGGGTTCTAGTCCCTGTTCCCATGGCTGCCGGGCAGAGTTAAGGGGATGGCTGCCCGGGGGGAGGCAGAGTTAAGGGGGGGGAATGTCCCAGCTGAATTCTGCTGCTGGCAACCTGGAAAGGGGGTTGGAAAAGGCGAGGTGGGGGCTCTGGAAAACAGCGAGCCCCTGCCCCTCCCCGGGGCTGGAAGAGAGAGGTAGCTTCAGCCGCAGCCCATGGACACAGGCGTCCCTCTAGAACTGATCCGTGCCGATCTAGAACTGGGGAGTAGGTCTAGAGCATGAGCGGTGTCGATCTGGAACCCAGCAGGGCAAATTCCACTCCTGGCTCTGGAACACACAGGATTTATCTAGAGCCCCAGTCCCCTGCTGCCCAAACCAACTGGCCCTGGATTTCCTAAAAACCAGAGCTGACAATCTGCTAACTGGAAGTGGTGCCACCCCCAAGGGCTGGTCCTAGACGAGCCAAATAAAGCGGAACAGGATCACCAAACTACGCTGCGTCGGTCGCACAACTGATGGTGAGGCTATCACATTTCTAACCCGCAAGCAGAGTCAAGTCCAGGCCAGTCCCGGCTGGGGCTGATTTCACAAAGCCGGAAACAAGTCTGAGGCAAAGCAGCTAGGAGGAAAGTTTCCAACAGAAATGGAGAATTGTTTAAGAACATTTAACAGGGATGTCCAAAAAGCCAGGAGTGAGAAAGAAGGCTGGCTGGGTTTTAAAAAATAAAACAGCCTAATTGAAAGGGGAGGCAAAAGCAGTTATGAAAAAGTTTAACAAATGGAAGCAAGGGGTAGCTGCTAAAAATAATCAGCAGTTAGGAATTGTAGAACATTGATAAGGGAAGGAAAAGGACACCAGGAGACCTCTAGGGCCAGCATAATTAAGGACACTGAAGGAGTAATTTTAAGTATATTAGTGGTATTGGTCCACTACTAGATGAACACATTAGAATAGCAATAATAATGCAGAAGACAGAATTGTTCAATATTTCTGATCTGTATTTGAGTAAAAAAAAAAATGTAGTCATAATCCATCATAACACTTTCCATTCCACTAGCATCTCACGAGGCTGGTGAACAGCAGCGACTGAAGTGAGATATTTTGAAATCAGCAGGTCCAGATATCTTCCATCCAAGAGTTTTAAAAGAGCTGGCCGAGGAGCTCGCTGGACCATTAATGTTGCTTTTTCCCAATGTCTCTCCGCCCTGGGGAAGGGCCGGAAGACGGGAAGAAAGCCGGTGTTGTGCTAATATTTGAAAAGGGTAAATAGGCTGACCCGGGCAATTCAAGCCAGACACTGAGCTGGTTAATAAAGAATGACAGGTGGGGGGTGTCCTTAATGCCAATCACGCTGGCTTTATGCAAACCAGCTCCCGTCTGACGGGTGCAGAGGTAATTGTGCTGAGGTGTTTGCCTTGGTACCACAGGGACGGTTTGATTAAAAACGAGACCCTATAAAATAACGTGGGGCACGTTCAAACGGCTTAAACACAGGCTGCGCCGGCCCCCAAGTGAGTTCTGGGCGTCCGCAGGGAGCTGTTCTCGGCCCTGCGCTGGGCACCGTTTTTACCAAGGAGCTGGAAGAAAACACGAAACCAGCCCCGCTAAAGGCTGTGGATGACCCCAAACTTGGGGGGGTCAGTCCTAGAGCGATCCGGATCAGCAGGGCCCGCCCCCTGGCGTGTTTTAACGCGGCTCCATGGCCGGGTGAAGCAGCCGAACCCGAGCTCCCCAAGGGCTGCGCCGACCAGGGTGTCTCACGGCGCAGCGATTGCAGCACCGGCTGCATCCCGGGGCCCCACTTCCAGGAGGCTGGGGATGAGTCCAGAGGGTTCCCAGAAAACCTGCCTTAAAGCGATGCCAAGAGCCCAGCTCAGCTGCTCCCCAGGGGAGGTGCGGGGGGCTGAGCCCAGCGGCAGGTCCCTAGAGGGAGCGACAAATCTGGGCCCGTAGGCTCGAAGCCTGGCAGAGGGAGGGCAGACTGGGAAGGGGGATTCCCACATGGGGCCTTCGGGGCTGAGAATCAATGATTCCCCCCCACACGCCCACATGGGGGCAGCCCCTGGCCCTTGTGGGGCACCATAACACCCTGGGGTGCTCAGTTTTCATAGGAAATACCCACAGCCTGGATCCCCCGTGCCCCCCAGCTGGGCTTTGAGCCCCAGGGACGCATGACCCAGGACCAGCTGTGCCCCCCATGACAGGCCACTCCCAACCCCCCCCGCCCCACACACACACTGAGATCAGGGCCCCCCTTGGGCACCACCCACACCCTCCCCCCAGACAGAGCTCAGGGTCCCCCATTCACCAGGCTGGGGGGGACACCAAGGATGTCAGGGTGGGGGTGGAGAATCAGGCTGAGGGCAGCCCCCACCTTAGGGTATTTTTCTAGCAGGGGGGGGGGGGGGGAGAGAGAGACAGAAGAGGAGAGAGTCAGTACATCCACAGGGGATTGGGGGGTGTCCAGGAAACCCCTGCCCCAAATCTGCCACGTCCACTCCAGGTGAGACCCCCACTCCCTGGATGACTGGCCACAGGGGGCGCTAGAGCCCAGCTCTAAGCCACGCCCCCATGGGGCTCCCCAACCACTCCACAGACGCCACTTAGCAGATTGGGGGGCAGGATGAAGTCAGGATTCCAGGGTTCTATCCCCAGCCCTGGGAGGGAGGCAGGGTGGGGGTGGAGTAGGAGAAACCAGGACTCCTGGGTTCTATCCCCAGCCCTGGGAGGGAGGCAGGGTGGGGGTGGAGTAGGAGAAACCAGGACTCCTGGGTTCTATCCCCAGCTCTGAAGGGACTGGGCGCCAGGACGCTCTAGCAGGTACAGCTCGGCTACCTGCGGCCCTACAGCTCCTGGGGTCACGCTGGTCTGGGGGGCTGAAGAGAGAGGGGAGCCCCCCACCCCCCCAACCCAGGGGCTTCTGGGTGCCAGGACAGGACCAAGGGCTGTGGGGGGCCCTGCCCCACTGCTATTAGGGACCCCTCCCCCTGCAGAGTAGGACAGAGGCTGAGTGGGGGAGGGCCCACGGAGAGCAGGGTGCCCCGCCGCAGGCAGGTTTTTGGGGGTACAGAGCAGCGGGAGTCAGTTTAGGCGTGCCAGGCCCACCCTACCCAGGAAGCCACGGGGGGGGGGCACAGTTTGGGGCCCCCCCCACCCTCCCCAGGCAGCCGGGGGCCCCGTTTCATCTCTTTATTTTCTCATGAATGTAGCCATATAAAAACATAACTTATGAAACAGTCACGATGTGTCAACCGGGAGGGGTAAAAAGGGGGGGGGACAGAACCGTCAGCAAAACACAAACTGGGGACCCTCCCCATAACCCCCCGACCTGCCCTCCCCAGCT